ATATATAGTATAGAGCAATAAAGACACCTCATGCAGCTGTGCAGCAACAGATCACTTCTGCAGTCCTGCAATCAGCCAGCAATAGATCACTATAACAGTTGTCTACTGCCAGCCATAGGGGGAGGCTGGGCAGAGCTGAAAAAGCTCTGGCTGAGCCTCTGTACTGATTGGAAGAGCTGTGAAGTAAATACACAATGGAGAAGAATTATACTTAAATTCGCTTCTACAGTGCGTGCCTATGGAACGATTCGAAGAAACATCTAAAGCCCAGGAGCTGATCGATTCAACTGTCTATGAAAGTTGGCAGTTCAAGCACTAATTTCTGGACACTGCTTTAAGATGGTGCTGGGACAAATAGCTGCTGTCCCTGTCCATTTTAACATAGTGCCCAGGACTCCAGTGGCCCTCACCAACATTAGTGGTTAATACAGCTTAGATAGAGGTCACATTCAGATCACAATTACATGTAAATTAACTCAGAAGAGTCTCAAACTAATGTCAAATATAAGCTGAATGAGCCTGGAAGCAGTGTATTCTAAACGAGGCCTTAAAAGTGAGGCAAGTCAAAAACACAATCCTTTCATTCTCCCCTGATATGTCAGTATAGATATGTAAAGTATTTTAATATTTTTTTTGGAAAAAGCACGTTGCACTCTAAATAACCAGATACAATTGTGGTAGTAATGTCTTTTTCAAGTGTTTTTCAGGCACTCCCATTAAAGTCAATAGGGCCAAATCAATTGATTCTGCCTGAAAAGGAGCTCCTGTACTTTTTGGATCAACAAGTGTTTTGCTATAGGCGCTTGAATGCTCAGGTGTGAACAGACACCATAGCAGTGAATGACATTTTTAATGTTGAGTGCTTCGAGCTACAAAATCCTCAGGTGTGAATAGGGCCTTATGTTTAACAACAACAAAAGAATATTTGCTAACAGGCACAAACCCTGCACTGCCACAGTCTCCTCTGTTGGTAAGTGCACAGGCACAATGGCTGCTAGTGTTAGATGCAGATGAAGAATACCACTTTCCCATTCACTTCAGGTGATAAGCACAACGAACTGGCCTTTTTTTTGGTGTGGACAAATTCTAAAAGAATACAGGCGGTACACAGAAGTGTGTTGTCATGATTGGTGGCCATGGTGAAAGGTGGGTTTCTTTTGGTTTATTGTAACAAACCCTTTTGCACATATATATACGCTTAATATGGGGGACTGTAAGCAATAAATAAAAATGTAGAAGTCGAACAAGATAACTGCTGGTCTGTGAAATGATTTGTCCTCACCTAAATAAATAACCAAATAAAACACCATGACATCATCACAAATAATCCTCATCATTCAGCTTCCTTTAACAAATGACCACAATGCATTTCACATTTGCATTCTTCCACCATTGACTTCATTCTTTGCTCTTTGCATTCAGTTGTATAACATCTTGGAGCTGCAAAGGAAGTCGATGCTGGAAGACACCCAACAAGGAGCAGATATTAATATAACACCCAACAGCTGTCACTGACTGCAGCAGGTCTTAATCCAAACGAGCTCCGAATAGGGGAATATGACCATTCTTGGCCACTAGCCCAACACACATTATTTGTTCTGGCCTGGAATACAAATCCCCAGCCCAATCTTGCCCTGGAGGTGATAATAGGCATGATGGGGAGACCTACCAATGTCACAGCCAAAGCACACATGGCTGCAAAATAGTGTCTGTGAGCATTCACCTCTAATGAATCTGCTTAATCCACCACCAACTCTGCTTAATCCACTGCACACATCCCTAGCTACAATGGGTAACTTCCCCCTCTAAAAATGCTAGTTCCCAGGCAGTCTTACTGATCTAATGGCATCAGTGCTTTCTGAGTGGCTGACCTGAAAAAAAATACACATCAAGCATTCTAACATCACTCTGACTTAATTTGTTGCATACTCGATCTGAACAAAGACAGCTAGGCAACTAGCATTTTCAGACAGAAGTCAGCAATAGGAACTCCATTATTGCTCAAAGCACAGGTTTCCTTTACATTATTTTTAGATTTTGTGTGTTATTATTATCTACTAAACATTTAGAAACTCCAATACTTCAAAAGAGTCGAATTTTAAAATGACATTTCTTCTACTGAACACTTATGCAGGAGATGAGGGATGACTAAACTGTGATATTAATTCGAGTGTTTTTGCACAAATCAGAATGAGAAGAGGAACCTGTTCAGTGAACGAAGCAATGCAATACAGTATGCTAACTCAGATGATGAAGAGGATGGTTATGACTCTCCACACATTAAAAGAAAAGGAGCTTCTGTTGATGAATTCCTAAAAGGCTCAGAGCTTGGGAAACAAGTGAGTATAACACTTGAACATCAAATTTCCAGACACTACTGCAGATTTGTACTTATTTATAGAAATTGTTTTTGTGCATTTTACTATATCACATGGTATATCAGTATGTCCAAATCCAGCACTGGAGGGCTTTATACTTGCTAGAATTTGAGGAAAAGCACAATCATTTTGCTTAAGGACCCTTGGAAGAAATAAGGTACAAGAAGTTAAGATTGTGCATGCATACACTAGCAACCATAGGTGCTCCATTCATACTGTTCTATCTAGTACAGTGATGTTTTTTGTTTTTTTTTAACATGCACATTAGTTCCCAGGTCATATGCAAGTATGTACCAGGCTATCCCTAGTGTATTGCTACTTTCAGGACCTTCACCTCCCCATGCCTGCTGATAATTGATGACGCAGCATGGCACCAAGTAGTTGACATGGCACAGATGGAGACACTAGTTGTTGAGGTCTAATGTTAAATCTTAATACCTGTGGCCAATGTTCCTGCTGTGGTCGGTGACCTCAACAAGACATCTGACAGCTTGCTTCTGCATGATGGTTTAAAACAGGGGGAGGGCCAGCCAGGGTTTAAAGGTCTCTGCTACTCTATTTTTGTGAAGGATTTGGTTGCCTCTGCTGTTGAGATAGTGAGATCTGCTCTAAGGACAGACCTGGCAGAGCTTTATGCTGCCTGGGCCTTTTCTTACAACATATATACGCTTACCTGTCCCCATGGCGGTGGTCGTGGAACTATTTATTACCTTTAATTATTTTAGTTCATATAGTTTGCAACTCTTAAATATTTAATACAATTAAATACCAAACATGTTGTAGGGCCATGAAGGATGTTGGTCCAAAATAGATATGATAATCAGTGCGACTCTATATTATTAACTTTTGCTGCTAATAATGAAAGACCAAGTAACTCTGTTACATGGGATTGAGTTGTACAATTATTATTTGGGCCACAGATAGACTGTTAATTGAGCTGTAATGAGTGAAGCATCTGCACCCTTTCATCTGTCTGTTAAAACATTTATCGAGGATAAGCAACTGGGAAAATTATACAATTTAATTGGTGGAAAATGATTACAGTAATAAATTAGTAATTTAGTTAGTAATATGTAACATTTGTCAGGATTATAAGTTGTGATCAGTCACAGTGTCATGATATATTTCAAGCAGACGAATGTTGACAATCAGCTGTACACATGGGGCAGTGTAATTGCTGTATTATTGTATTGTATATGTTATGTGAACCTGATTCTCCCAGCATTTTTTGTGTGATTGGACACTTAATAAAGATTACTGTAACCCAATTTCCAGGAACTGATTGACATGATAGGTGTGAGCAGATGTAATTTAGATTGCGTTAAATTAATGAAACCAGAGTGCATTGGCCTACATTTTAAAGGGCACAACGTGATGACTCAAGTGCTGCATGCCATAGTGGGAAATAATATGGTAATTATTATATACATCCTGCAGCTTTTCCTCTGGATCCCCGCTGCTCTCCCCTATCTGTATGCAGCCAGCGAGGATCCGAGGAGAAGTGAAGCACTTCAGCCGGCGGGGGAGTGGAGGAGGGAGCATGGCCGAGCTGGTGAGGAGAGAGACGCTTGGCCAGGATCTGACAGCTGGCGGCTCTCTTTCTCCTCACCGCTCGGCCATGCTGCTGTGACAGCAGCTCCCTCCTCCGCCCTCCCCCATCTCCCCGCCGGCTTAAGTGTTTCACTTCTCCTCGGATCCCCGCTGCATACAGATGGGGGAGAGCAGCGGGGATCCAGATGAAAAGCTGCAGATTAACCCCCCCTCTGCGTGATATTTACCAATCCTCTGGGCAGAGTAAACACTGGATCGATTACAGGAAGTGCTTTACATCACTTCCTGTTCATTCATGAGTTTCTCAATGGGGAATATCACTCACTACAGAGGCTTCTCCCCATTCAGAAACATATTATATAAATATATTAAATAAATTAAATAAATAATAAAAGATAAATACAAAATAATAAAAAAAACATGGATGGGGGGGGGTGCATGACATCACATGACGCCGCGTGTGCGCGGCGCTGGGTGACGCCACACGTCTGTTGGGGGAGGGCATTTTTTTGTTCTTGCCCCGGGCGCAAAAGAAGCTAGCCACAGCTCTGACATCTGATGACAATCTTATATTTAAGCAAACTGGCAAATGCCTGCTGAATGACCTCTTGACCTCTGCGTCTTACCTCCAGCACGTTCATGCTCTTCCCTCGCTTCTCTGTTGATGTTACCCTAAATAAAACTGCCAACCATACTGTAGTGCCCATGGGCACCCTTATTTGTTTGCAGGGGGCTGTTCTTTAATGTCTTATTTATTAATAACTGATTAAGAGCATCACAGATCGTTTGCAAGATGCAGCTATTGTTTTTAGCTGTTTTTGAACTCTTAATTGTCTTTGCAATACCTTTCACTTTGAGGATTGACTAGTATGCACTTTTGTCTTTATCACATGATTAGCCACACTATTGCCCTGATGATGAATACCACACAGAAAGCAGCAGAGGCTCAGATTTATCTGACATCTTGGAAGAAGATGAAGAGGAGCTTTACTCAGAAATGCAGCTTGAAGATGGCGGCAGGAGGCGAAGTGTCACCTCTCATAACACCCTTAAGGTAAGAGAATGGCATCGAAGGTCAGCTTCTGTCCTCTGTGTTCAGGGAACACAGTTTGAAAAGCTAGGGTTGGTCAAAGTCTTCCTGACCTGATCAGTTAAGGGTTTGCTGAATATTTAGTTCACAGTGCCTTCGTTTGCAGTATTTGTTACCTTTAAGGATCAAGAGGAATTCTATTTCAGGTTTTTTTCATTCATGAATCAGACTTAATGAAACTGAGCCAAATACAAGTTAGACAAAAAATGATCACCTTGTATTAAAAGATACTTATTGTTTGTGTATGATCTAATATGGCTGGCAGTAGGCGTAGCGATGATAAATAAGAGAGACACAAGATCAAAATGACTGCTTTTAAAATAGTATTAAACTTTTAAACGTTTTTCAATAATGAATCCAGATCAAACAAATACACATTGCCCAGCAAAGTATTAGTAAAGCCTAGTAGGGAGGAAGCAGTGGAAGGACTTGTCTTGCTGTGTTTTTGTGGAGACACACAGCTTACTAGTACACACAAGGATGGCTCCATAGGACCCTGCAAGGAAAAGGAGTCACCCTAAAACAGAATATCAGGGTCAGTGCTCAGACGACCAGCTGATTTTTCAGAAAACGAAAACTTTTAAACATCAAGGAGCAGCATCCATTGTAAGTGATTTCATCAACATGTGAAATCGCTAAAAGGCCTTTTGTCTTTACTATCACTTTAAATTCCTTAAATCTTAAGATTCTGGTTCACAATGACTGTCTACATGAGATAAATACTTAGCGAAAAGAAGCCACAGTTGTTATAGATACACAATTAGTACACAGTGACCAGAACGGAGGTATAGGGGAGTCAGAAAGCTCCACAGCCCCTGTAGTTAAAGATGTAAGCTGATGACTTACCCTGGCAAAACGTGATAACCAATCTTGAAGTAAAAATCTTGTCATCCCTACAACAAGTATGAATACTTTAAAAGAGGGAATTCCTCTTTTAAAGTATTCATACTTGTTGTAATCTCCATATATAATAATCAATGGCGTAACAATAGCCATAGCAGGCCACGCAGCTGCTATGGGGCCTGTGGGGGAGGGAGGACCAATAGGGGGTTGCTGAGGCACTAGAAACATAAGAAAAACATAGAAAATCTGTGTACATGTGAAGAAAACACATATCCATCACTGTATTATTAAGGATTGCGAGAGGTTGCTGTTGACGCTGACCCTGTACCCCGGTGGCATTTCCTATCAAGAGTTGATGTCCAACATACAGGAAGAGACTTTAGAGTGGTCGTGGCTAGTCACAGATCCCTTTTGCAGGCCGTCTAATAAGGAGAATTTGTTTTTTGATGTCTTAATAGTGTACATTTATTGTCCTCAGAGCTTCTGGTCATCCCGTCCAGCACTAAAATTAAGCCTCTTATACCTAACAGTCTTCCTCAGGCTGCATAATCCCAGAGTGTCTCCTTAGCTAAAAACTGACAGCTGTTCAATGTTCTGCAGTTTAAAGAAATTTGTAGGCGTATTAGCTGAAAAATTAATGTTAAAAGTCAATTCCCTGCACTGATGCCCCCTCTCCCCTAACAGCCTATGCTGACAGCTCCCCTGCTGTCTGTCCTGTATTTAGGCATAAATTATGTTAAGATCTATGACTATAGGAAGGCACCAGTGGGCCACATCTACATTTTGCTATTGGGCCCCATGATCTATAGTTACACCCCCTGATAATGATTTAAAAAACATTATTTTTTGTATAAATTATATTTTTAAAAATACATAAATTATAGTAGGGTTGTAGGCTTCAAAATAGGTAGAGTTGATGAGGTACGGCGTATGATTCACCTCTGTGCCCACAAATTTGTGCCCCACTGTTGTAAAGTAGCATTTTCTTACCCTGTTCCTACTGCAGGACACTGATGTTGTAATCACAGTTTATAAAAAGTAGATTGTTTTGATGCTCTCACAATATGATTTCTGGTGAATCTGTATGTATCATTACTTGACCTAATTTCTGCACTATGGTTTGGCATCCGAAATCCTTCACTCACTACTTTTGCAATTCGCTATTTTTAAGTATTTTTCGTGAATTTTACCCTGTACATCTGATTAATAAAATGGCAAGCATAATTATTCCTAGAACATTTAGTGAACCAGGCTACCTTTCTTTAATACTGTGGCTAAGCGGTTAGTACTTTTGCCTTGCAGTTCCAGGCCCTGCTCACACCTATCTGCATGGACTCTGGATGTCCTTCCCACTGTATTTAGATTTTCTCCGTGGGATCCAGTCTCCTTCCGCAATGTGAAAACATGTTGGTGGGTTTATTGGCTTCCTCCCAAATAATCCTACTTATGTTGAATTGTGAGCTCCTTAGATGGACATAAATTGATGTGAGGGATGTATGTGCTCTGTAAATACTGGAAATGAATAAATGCATCATGTCTATACAGGTGTAAATGAAAATGTCAGTCTAGGAAAATAGCAAATGAACAGGAATCACCAGCACTCAGTGGAAAATATTGAAACGATAAAGTCCATTTAATCGGACAAATCATCATACATGTTGCAATCATTATAACTGACGTTTCGGGGCCACGCAGGGACCCTTCATCGGGGCAACAATGTAACACCTAGGAATGGGAACTGACACAGTCTAGGGAATTAGACTATATGCAATGTAGGGTGGTTTTGACTCCTCCCACATAAGCAGAGGTGTGGTTGAAATACCACAATTTTTTCCAGGCTTTATTTGTGAAGAAGGCAATCTAGCTAGATCCATCTTTGGATGACATGTTGTTTTAGCCCAAAATATTCAGCATGCTTAAATGTAACTATTTCTTTCCAGTCACCATCAGTGCAGAATTCCTCTCTTGTTCTTGGTTCTGTTTCCCATTTAGGGATATATTAACAAATTATTAGAGTATTCCACATTTAATGATAATTTGACAGTTCCTGTTCACCACTTTAGAATAATTAATAAACCTCAGATCTGTGATTCTGTCTACCACATAAATATGGAAATAACTAATTGGCAAATGACTTGAAAATAATGACAGCAAAAAATAGACTAAACATGTACCAGTCGCCAGTTTTGAGAAAAAAAGGTCTCTATGTGTTTCGGTCAGATACAAGGAACATACACAGGCTTATTGCAGGCAGAAGCTTGGAAGAGCAATTGTCTCGTCTCTGGCATTTAAAGTGTCAATTTAACATTTTCGCTTGGTCGTATTCTAACACTTTCCATCAAGATATTTCTCATTTTCTTTTTTTTTCTATTACTATTATCCAAATAAAAAGGGATTTTATAGAATGAGGAACTGGTTTTACATGACAAACTTGGTGTTGCAATGAAAAACTAGAAAGCAGCGGTAACAACAACCAATCTACAATTGCAGTTCAAGTGAGGTATAACTTTTTTCTTTTAAGGGAATATATAAAAATGTTACACATGCAAAGAATGTGTGGGGGAAAATCTTCACGTGATGCAATCAGCATCAACTGAACTACAGTATTCTTTTTGTACTGAACTTCTTGTAGATGGCCTTTCAGTGCTGCTGCATTTTATTAACAAATTAAACTGTTCAGAAATAAAGGGTTGTGTAGGTCTGTCTGAGCCAACATCTTCTGTATAGAGGTAGCTCATACTTGTGTTCAGAATATTTAGAGCATCCCTGATATATGTCATTATTTTTTAGTGTATTAGTGCACCACCCAGTGGCTATTTTAGGTCATTTCTGCTTGCCCAGAAATTATATTTACCAATATACAGTATATATATATACTCTTATGCCAGCCATACGCTTGGCAATTTTGTGATGACTGCTTTCATTTAACTTACTGCTGCCTTTGCTGTCATTGGATAGATCTCTGCTTACTTCCTGATCTGTGTGGCAACCAACAAATAAAAGGGTGAAGGTATACTTCCACAACTGGGACACAGACAACAGTTGAGGTTTTAAACCTTCCTACTCTTGGATTGGAGATTGGAGTTGACAGAATATATAAAAAAAAAAAAAAAATGTAGGCAGAATTTTTTGACCTACTTGTGAAAATGATAGTCTTTAACTTCAATATATGTCAAGCCACTGGGACAGAACAAGTATGTAGGAAGTGCAGACAGTACTGCTGAGCGACACTTGTTCTGGGTCAGTGACATAGATGTTATTGAAGCCATTTGATCAGCATACCAGTTAAGGGACTAGCCTACCTTCCAACTGTCCCTCATTTAGAACCAAATCCCCCTGTCCCTCCTCAGTTGTCTCTCTTTTTGGTCTGATGTACAGATATCTATGAAAAGGTTCTATTTCACTACCTAAAGTGTTATTCTGCACTAAAACCTTTATCGAATCTCTTCATTATCTTGTCTGCTATTTTGCTATTTGCTATTTATACAAGCCAGTATAAAGGTAAAGTAATGGTAAAATAAAAAACAATTCATCCTTTTTTCATAGGGATGTACAATGTATTGAGAGGCTGTTTAAAGCCTTGTGAATGCTAAACAAGATTCCCAATGAAACTGGTCAGAGATCATTAGGTTGTATAGTGTACAGTAGCAAAAACTTGATTTGTAGATGATAACTTTCATTTCCCTCACTCACAGTCGTTCTACTGAATACATTAATTCTTCCCAAGATCAGAAAACTTCCAATAATTCAGATGAGTTTATGGCAGACATGTGGTTGGTTGGAATGTTTTTACTATCAGGTGACAGATAAAAAGCATATGAAGAAGGATAATATACTATAATCATATTATATATATATATATACAGGGCTTGAAAAATCCACTTGTCCACTTGTCTGTGACGAGGTATATATATAAGGATAAGGATATATATAAGGATGTTATAAAAAAATATTTCTTTTAGTTGCTTGCAGTGGCATCACAAGGGGGGTGCGGCCCGCACCTGAGTGCCACCGTTGGAGGGGTGACACCAAAATGACTGACAGTCATTTTGGTGTCTCCTCCAATGAAAACTCGGGCACTTGGTCATGGACTGAGAGCCCGGCATTTTCAGGAGAGAGGAGGGGACCCGGCGTCATACCTCATCCCACCAGGTGAACATCCCCCTCCTCTCCCTGCCGGCATCCATTATAAAGATGGCCTCCGGCAGGCGTCAATAAGATAACTGCGCATGCGTGATGACATCATCGTGCACACACGCGGCAACGTCACGTGCATGCACGTTGATGTCACGGCGGGGTGTCACCTGGCCTCGGGACGCCCCTGGTTGCTTGTTGTTGTAGAGTGTTTAAATCGCACTTAATTAGCCTTTTTTGGGGGGAATCCTTAGCATATTTAATGACCTACCCTATGCTTATCCCTGACCTTTACAATACAGTTATTATGTGTACTATTTACACCGATCAAGTTTTATTCCAGTCATGTATGCACCTCCAGCTTTGTGTATAGAGAATACCATCCTGGAGGTGCCTTTCTAATTGGTGTAACCCTAATGCGCTCCACAGTGCATGTGCTACTGACTTAGTATTTGCTAAATAGGTGGCTCATAGGCAGTGTGCACAGCGTGCCATGAAACCACCAGGTACACAGAGAGGTTGATATAACATATTGAGGAGGGGGTCAAGGAACAGCTTTGCATATATTCAGGCATGCAAGTTTTGTCAGGGGTTAATCTGTAAAAAAAAATCAAACAAAAAGATTTTCATTAGGGGCTAGAAACTGTAAGATTCATTAAACATTTATATTAATTTAGTGAACTGATGCAAAATGAATCAGCACTGAACCTAGAAAATATAGGGTATGTTTACTTGAGCTCTTCTTTTTAATTGGGACAGTTCAGTTCATCCTATGTAGGTCACCCTCACATCATGTGTAATAAATTACTGACTACAAATGTGTAGCTTTGTCTTATGCTTGCCTGCTTGTCCCTACTGAGCGAATGCTATATTTGAATTACAGAGCTTTTGAATAGAATTTCATTAAGAACAGCACTGAAAACGAAAACTTATAAAGTACAAGGACCTCTTCCTCCTTTGTCAAAATGTAGATTGCACCAAGCCTATGACAGTCACCACTGACTGCTAAAAACAAAATACAAGTATAACATGCTGGGATAGTGGAACAATATGATTATCTCTAGAATGTTTTAATGATTGTGTATTCTGATAAACATTTACGCAGGTTTTGGAGTCTACTAAAGATATTTGATTCACTGTAAATTGCAATGATCCTTCTTCTTAAACCATTATTTCAGTGAATTCTTCAGGTTGAATGAAAGTATTGGTTTGTTCCACTTCAATGACTGCACTGCAGAAATCCCATGACTTAACAAGTGTCCTTTTCTAATTTTAACCAGCATGCATTAAACACAGAGATATCCACCGTAACAATCATGTAAAGGCCAATTACATGCATTGTGATGGGATATCACTGCACCATGGTCCTTATCCTTCCGATGTACTAAATGAGACTTGTTTTGCATCTCTTCCTAAGTTAACTTTGACAGTAGCAGCCCTATGACTTAAAAGCCATTAACTGGTATCATCTAATGTGTGCTGCATCTAAGCATCACATTGGCTGTCTGTGTGCAGCATCAACCCTCTGCATGGTCCTATTCTTACTATAGCACTGATATGCCAAGCTCTCATTGTCTGTACTGATCTTATGTTCTCTCTGACACCAGCCAAGCTCCTAATCATGTCTTTATTTTCACAGATTCCCATTCAGAGCATGAACCTTTCCTTCACAGAGTAAACTCGCATGCCTTATGTTTTCCATTGCCTCCAAAAACTAACCCTGTCTTTATTTTTTTTTTCTTTCTCTTCCTCTACTTCTCTTTCCATGTTTTTGTCTTTTTTGTTTTACTGCACTTGTTGGATCTTGTGTTTTTTCTATTATTGTTGTTGGTCCATTCTATTTTCTCGTATTGTCTATGACTTGTGCAGTGTTCTAAGACTAAGGCCACAGAATCTGCTTTAAAGGAGCAGCTGGACATTTCCCCTCAGCATCCTCACAGTAAAAAACTGTTCAGTATTCCTGAAGTTGCAGAGGAAGAAAGTGGAGAACACTCAGAGCTCTTGCACAGAGGGCATTCTGTAGGCAAGGCGTATAGAGCCAGAGGAAATGTAGCTAGAACTAATAGGGTGCCAAGGGCTAGTAGTCAAGATGGGCGACACCAGAGCCCATGGCATTTCTCTAAGTGTAGGTTTAATGGGGCCGCTCCATATTCAGATGATTTTACATGTGAAGGGAGCAAGCTTGGACCTCTCTCCAGGAGCCCAGACAGCGGCTTGGATTGTGGAAGCGAAGAAGAAGAAGCCCGTTACCATTTCAGGAAAGGCTGCAGCACCGTTGCTAGAAATGCCACACATGAGCCCCAACCAAATACCGTATGTTCTAGAGACCCAAAGCAAATGTTTGCACGCAGGAAAACCCTCACCAGGCAAAGCAGCGTGGAGGAGGATTTTGGTGATTTGAGCTCAGACGTTATAGATAACACAAGTGCTTGCAAGTGCCACATTGAAAACCATGAACTGCCGCCATGTGTCAGGGAATTTACTAACGGAGACTATGCATGCGGGAAAACAGACGTATGTAAGAAAAACTGTAGGAGATCAGTTCTAAGTCCAACTCGCAGAGACACGGAAAAACCTCTGGTGTGTTCAATAAAAAATCCTTCTTGCCATCTGCTTGCCAAATCACTTGTCGGCTTTTTAGTTTCTTTTCTTTTTATCTTTCTGTGGGCTTCCATCTGGGATCACTGCTGATTACCCGCAATTTTTCAAGCTTTTTGATTTCTCAGTCAGCACTGCTTCACAGGCTTTAGCCCATGCTCTGCCCTATTCTTTTGCTTCTAGATGCGGTATTTTGCTACCTTTTCTGTTTGTTTATTTAAGAGAAGTTATTACTATAATTGCCAGCTCTTATTTTTCCTATTTATTTTACAGGACAACTGAAATTACATTTTACTTGAGGGTTAGCTGAAGGATCCTTAACACATGTATATTATTTGAACTTGAATTGACCGTGTGGATTCCCTCTTATAGATTATCCAGGCTTTTTTTTTTCTTAGGTGTTGTATCATTGGTGTAGTAAAGATACCAGCACATAAGCCAATGTAATATCTTATTAGTTTGGGATATTGTTTGATCCCCTTCTGACTGGTGGTATGACGGACTTCACATTTCTGGCTTAAACTTTTGCTGCTAACACACATAATGCAGTCAAAAGCCAGGGTTTTGTATGATTAATCAAATTCTCATCTCTATTGATAAAGGAGAAATTTCCACAGCCAATAGAGAACAAAACCATATGAATTGTTGGGAGATTCACAATAACCACAGTTCAGATAACAAATGTTTGTATTTAATATTCACCATAGGAAAGGTTCAAGGCAAAGTGGGCTATGTTCTGCCAATCAAATACCTTTGTTTTTCATACAGTTTGCTTTGGATAATATACATAATGCAAAATGACTTGATTCAATGTTAATTTATTAGTTAGGTTCTACTTTGTCTTTCAAGTATGTAAACGTACATTTTGGGGGGATAGAATAAAAAAGGATTAGAACCCCCTGTGAGGATTTTATTGCTGTCTATCTCAATGCTCATGTGATTCGCCATTTCTGTTTGTCCTGTTCGCCATTTTCACTGAGACATAAAGTGATGGGAACCCCGAAATCTGGCCATTGTCACCAGTGCAGCCTTATTGTCATAAGTGAGCGTAAATATTTCAATGGGGACACCTATTCCAGTGACAACTGCCACTCTCTTTGTAGAGATGTTCTTTTAGTTTCTGTTGTACCTCCAGGGCAGGAACAAATCCAGGGCAGGAATATAATCTGATGGAATTTTAAAGCCTAGCCCCAGGCTATAGCCCCTCCCCCAACAAACTGATCTTTCCCCCTGGAATCCCCCTTTCCTTAAGTATTTTATTATTTATTTTATGTACCTTATGCTTCCCTGGCAGTGGATTGTTCTCAATGATTCAGACAGCAGTGCTGAGTGATGACATCTGCATCATTATACTGAGTGGGCAGAGGGCTTTGTGTTGCTTCCTCAGGGGTGGGCTAATAACATCCTATGCACTCAGTATGCCCTCCGTTTTCTGGGTCATTCTGTACTGTGAGCATTCTAGATTGAAGGTGAGTATAGCAGCAAAAGGTTTTCTTTTTCACTGCTCCTAGAGGACACTTAAAAAAAATAAAATGATCCCAGAGTTATACTTTTATTTTTCCCTACTCCATACAAAACTAGAAGGACCTGCTAACACAAACGTTGCAGATAATAGTATGTATTGGTAGTAATAATGTAGCCCCCACGAATGACTAACAACTTTAAGGCCTTGATCAGATTTTTGCGATGTGAGAACGCATGAGTTCCCGCATCACACTCGATCACATGTCATACCGTTAGGTGCTCTGCGGTGTCATTATTTTGTTTTGGCATCCGTAGCCATTGCATGTGCATTTCATCACACCACAACACATGAAAACCTATTATCATGTGTTGTGGTGTAATGAGATTTTATAAAAAGGGTCATGCACTACATTCAGTGTGATTAAGATGCAATACACTACAATTTCCCTGCACCCCACATGCGATGTTACATAGCACAGTTACAAACAGGGTATTTATTCTAAAGCTTGATCATTTTTACAGTTGATGTGAGCATTGCCATCAGGAAGCAGTAGTGAAGGAAAGCTTTGCTTCTGCAAACAATCTGCTATGGCTACTATGGCTGCATGACTGCCAAGAATGAAGCAAGAACTACTATGTTAACAAAGCAGCAGATGATTCCTTCCCTACTGTAATACCTGATGTGCATACGCCCTGTGTAGTATTCTGGTTTGGGGCCGCCCTAGGCAAGACAAAACTTGCCCCCCCCCCCCCCCCACACTAAATCTGCAGG